ACCAAAGGAGGACTACTAAAGAAAGAGATACTGTATTTCATTTTTTTCTATTAATCTTATTAACATTGTACGAGTACCTTGATTGAAGTGGACATTTTTTGACTGAAAATCTGCAGGCAGTATTTGGAAAGCCGGTGCTACGTGTAGAGAATTGGCCTCTTACAGCTTTTCTTGTGTCACAGGTGACTATACTGAAGTGGCACCCTCTGTCAGCGGGGATCCTGGCCGCTGCCAGCGGAGACCACTCCATCAAGATCTGGGACCTTCACAGCCAGAGTGTTGCCATCACCCTCGCCAGCCATCCTGACCAGGTACCAGAGCATTTTAGTGTCGTTGGGGCTTGGTTATTGTATATCTGAACCTTGCACACCTCACTTGAAGTGACCATTTTCTCCTCAGTATGCTCTAGCTATTTAATAGCTAGATAGAATTGTGCTATTTTGAAGCACTTAAATCACTGTATATTACCCGCTGAAGCTGCAAATGCAAGACTATTGAATTTCAAAATCAAATTTGAAAGGATTATCAAGGTAGATGGGGGGACCTTTGACAAGCCGCCAGCTTCCTGTCCTCATCAAGGCCACTAGTGTAAGTGGCCTTCTGGTCAATTCGGGTAAATAAGAGTGTGGAGACATTGACAAAAAGGTATTGTATGTGGACCACAATTTGTTCATACTAGCCCCATGCTGCTGCATGTGGAACCTATCTGTTCATACTAATCCCATGCTACTGCATGTGGAACCTATCTGTTCATACTAGTCCCATGCTACTGCATGTGGAACCTATCTGTTCATACTAGCCCCATGCTACTGCATGTGGAACCTATCTGTTCATACTAGCCCCATGCTGCTGCATGTGGAACCTATCTGTTCATACTAGCCCCATGCTGCTGCATGTGGAACCTATCTGTTCATACTAGCCCCATGCTGCTGCATGTGGAACCTATCTGTTCATACTAGCCCCATGCTGCTGCATGTGGAACCTATCTGTTCATACTAGCCCCATGCTACTGCTTGTGGAACCTATCTGTTCATACTAGCCCCATGCTACTGCTTGTGGGACCTATCTGTTCATACTAGCCCCATGCTACTGTATGTGGACACCACTTAAAACGTAACGTATTATGTGAGAGTATGAGTTGGAGACCTTTTTAGAAAATGTGTAAATTTGTAATATTTGGACTGTAGATGGGTTTTAATAATGGACCTTTTTCCTTGGCTAACACAATACAACACTCCACTTTGTTTTGGCAGATATTTTCAATGGCTTGGAGTCCATGTGGACGCTACCTGGCGACCATGTGCCGTGATAGCCACATACGTATATACGACCCTCGGCACTGTGCCGAACCTATCCAAACAGGCAATGGACCAGTTGGTGTGCGGGGTGCCAGGGTGTTATGGGCGCTCGGGGGCAAGTATCTAGTGACAGTTGGATTCAGCAAGTAAGTATACCTGGTGATGGTCCGATTCAGCACGTATGTTCATGTCATAACTTTTCTGTGGAGAGCCCTTTCAGCTCCCCGGAGCTATACCGGACTGACGTGTATATATTAGACTGTGGCAACACTCAATCGATGAAGTTCTTGCCTACTGGGAACCACGAGTCAGAACCTGGCTCCCCTCAGAGGGGCACGAGGAGCAATGGCCTATAGACACCCCCCAGGCCAGGCATCCAGAAAGGTTGGAATCCCAAAACAAACTACAACTGGTTAAAAATTGCAAACCGAAAATCGAATGAGCAAACAGAACTCCCCCAGTCAGAAAACAAGCAAACAAGCATGATGGGAATACAGCCGCCGCCCCATTTCCCCTCCCTGGGAGGGGACCCCAGACCTCCCACACCGGCTACCCAACCCCAGTTCTGAGGCTGTTGTGTTGGGTGGCAGTCGATCGACTCTGGCTCCATATGCAGACGATGAGTCACAATAACGTGGCTAAAGTATGTTGACCAGACTAACCACTAGAAGGTGAAGGGACGACGACAACATTTCGGTCCGTCCTGGACCATTCTCAAGACCGACTTGAGAATGGTCCAGGACGGACCGAAATGTCGTCGTCCCTTCACCTTCTAGTGTGTGGTCTGGCTCCATCCTTTGAGCAGTGCTGTGCCTTACGGTGTTGTTGTGCTGTGCGGTGGTGTGCGAGCCAGGTGTACAGTAATTCCAGAAGTACTGGGGCTGCATGCGGCTGTGGTGACATCATGCTTCTTTTCTGATTGGGGAGATCTGTTTGCTCGTTTGGCTTTTGGTTTGCAATTTTTAACCGGCTGTAGTTTTGTTTTGGGATTCCTACCTTTCAGGGTGCCTGACCTGGTAGATGGCAGACACACTGCTTCCAACTACACGGGGTGTCTATAGGTCATTGCTCCTTGTGCCTCTCTGAGGGGGCCAGGTTCTAGCTCATGGTCCCTGGTATAATAGACTCACTCGATCGACTGTTGCCAGGGTCTAATATATGCACATCAGCCCGGTATAGCTCCGGTGAGCCTCCGGGTCTCACCCAGAAAATGACGTTTCATTACTTTTCACGGTAATTTTTTTTCATTAGTAGTGATAAAAGGGATGAACTAATTATCAAGAAAGCTTAATCTGGGATTTATTTTGTAACCATTTTAATCCTTATTGTTAATTAAGACTTTATGATGTTGAGGGTAAATAATTGGGTCAATTTTCAACTGTACAACATTTATGAATGGTAATGTTCAGTTTACAATGGTCTACAACATTTATGAATGGTTGTGTTCAGTTTACAATGATCTACAACATTTATGAATGGTTGTGTTCAGTTTACAATGGTCTACAACATTTATGAATGGTTGTGTTCAGTTTACAATGATCTACAACATTTATGAATGGTTGTGTTCAGTTTACAATGATCTACAACATTTATGAATGGTAGTGTTCAGTTTACAATGGTCTACAACATTTATGAATGGTAGTGTTCAGTTTACAATGGTCTACAACATTTATGAATGGTAGTGCTCAGTTTACAATGGTCTACAACATTTATGAATGGTAGTGTTCAGTTTGCAATGGTCGGTCTACAACATTTATGAATGGTAGTGTTCAGTTTACAATGGTCTACAACATTTATGAATGGTAGTGTTCAGTTTACAATGGTCTACAACATTTATGAATGGTAGTGTTCAGTTTACAATGGTCTACAACATTTATGAATGGTAGTGTTCAGTTTCATACAATGCAGATTTGACTACTAGGCATTTCAGACTTGTTTGTTGGACTGGGTTCTAGACTTCAGGTGTGAGACTTCATAGAGATCAGTTACTATTTGAGACTTCTCGGTGTGAGACTTCATAACTCTCAGTCACTGTTTCAGACTCCATGTCTGAAATCAGGACTTCAGAACTTAAATCACAGTTCCAACTGTTGTGGCACTTGCTGTTTGACTTTGGTAATTCATTTAACCAAATTTGGTAATTCATTTTAATAGGATCATATTCTTCATAATCATTCCGACTTAGTGACGAAGTATGAAGGTCTCCACAATTATCCAAGGTTGTGATAGAGATCAGGCGAGTGCGGTGGTCAGTGTCGTCGGTTCATCGGCAAAAAGCTCCGGGTTCGACTCCTCTACAGGACTAGACGTACTACGGAAAGATTTCCTTAACACCTGGTGCTTCTGTTCACCTAGCAGTAAATAGCTTGCTGGGAGTTAGGCAGCTGTTGTGGGTTGTAACGTGAGGAAGGCCAGTCACTGGCTTAGCGGGGGACCGTAAAAAGCTGGATAGACTTCCTGTCTTTGACTGCGGGAAATCAAACATTGTTTAGTGCCATGTAGCTTACTAGTTAATGAGGGCAAGATAGGCGTTTCCTCACTTGTAAGTAATACCTCAAGATAACTCAAGATAACCTCAAGTGCCAGTTACAATAACCCCCCCCCTCCCCCCCCACACACACATTACAGGGTGTCGGAGAGGCAGATCAGCGTCTACAAAGCAACAGAGTTGTCAAAAGCAGCGAACACTGTAGGTATTGACATAAGCCCCGCCATGCTCATCCCGTTTTATGACCCCGACTCGTCGACCCTCTTCGCCACCGGTAAGGTAAGCACGTTGATGGACTCATGCTGGTGGTCTCAGGTGATGGTGAAGTGTTGTCCTCAGACTTTGTCTTATGGTAAATATATGTAGATATATATATATATATATATATATATATATATATATATATATATATATATATATATATATATATATATATATATATATATATATATATATATATATATAAATATAAATAATGTGTGTGTGTGTATGTGCACACACATACACACACACTCTCACACTAACTAACTCGCTCTGACATTCTCACTCACTCATTCACTCACTCACTCACTCACTCTCACACTATATATTTAGCTTCATCATAATTTCCCCCATATTCCACTTCCCTGGTGTAATGAAACCTTTCAACTAAAGGGACTTGTGAACAGAATAGGTAGAAAAGGTTAAAGATATTAAAAATAACATTCCTACATTCACCATATTTCCACTTGAAACAATAGCAACACTGCTTTATGCAGCAAAGATTGCTTAATTTCCAAATATATTTTTTCGCTTAGCTAACAAGTTTGTACACACTTTTCTCGGCAGGGTGACAGCACCATCTATGCCTACGAGATTGGCACCGACTTCCCCCACCTGTTCCCTCTCTCACACCACAAGAGTGGGAGCGTGCATCAGGTAAGCCGCACCCGGGGAGTGCCGGTAGTTTTTAGTGGCACTTGTTATTAAACACACTTGTAGTAATTGTAGTTTCAAAGCGTTATATGACAAAGAGTGCTGGGAAGACGGGACACCATGAGCGTAGCTCTCATCCTGTAACTACACTTAGGTAATTACACTTAGGTAATTACACACACAAATCTACTCTGAACATTCAGTGTTCGGGAGGCCTGAGTCGTGTCATGTCCTTTTGGGTATAAGATCTTGCATTCAAACTTTTTCATTATTGTAAAATTTACATAGGCATTGCAATATTTCTTGGGGGAAACATTTCTTTGCCACTTAGGATTCATACTCCAGAAGTCACATTGTAACAGTTTAAGCTGTTTAACCCTTAAATTGCGCATCGCTTCATATGATGCTTTGGAGTACTACACAAGATTTAAACGACCCGCGGATACCCAACGGACCACGCACCATGGACAGAATCTTGCCCAACCACGCACTAAGGACAGAATCTTGCCCAACCACGCACCAAGGACAATCTTTCCCGACCACGTACCAAGGACAGAATCTTTCTTGACCACGTACCATGGACAGAATCTTTCCCGACCACGTACCATGGACAGAATCTTTCCCGACCACGCACCATGGACAGAATCTTTCCCGACCACGTACCATGGACAGAATCTTTCCCGACCACGTACCATGGACAGAATCTTTCCCGACCACGTACCATGGACAGAATCTTTCCCGACCACGCACCATGGACAGAACCTTTCCTCAACCATGCACCGTGGACAGAATCTTTCTTGACCACGTACCATGGACAGAATCTTTCCCGACCACGCACCATGGACAGAATCTTTCCCGACCACGTACCATGGACAGAATCTTTCCCGACCACGCACCATGAACAGAATCTTTCCCGACCACGCACCATGGACAGAATCTTTCCCGACCACGCACCATGGACAGAACCTTTCCTCAACCATGCACCGTGGACAGAATCTTTCTTGACCACGTACCATGGACAGAATCTTTCCCGACCACGCACCATGAACAGAATCTTTCCCGACCACGCACCATGGACAGAATCTTTCCCGACCACGCACCATGGACAGAATCTTTCCCGACCACGTACCATGGACAGAATCTTTCCCGACCACGCACCATGAACAGAATCTTTCCCGACCACGTACCATGGACAGAATCTTTCTCGACCACGCACCATGGACAGAACCTTTCCTCAACCATGCACCTGGACAGAATCTTTCTTGACCACGTACCATGGACAGAATCTTTCTCGACCACGCACCATGGACAGAATTAATGACTGAAGGAATGAACTGACAAGGTGTGCAAGCACAGCCTGTTAAGTATTTATATTCCTCAACAAAATTAAAATCAAAGGAACTAATTGGCATCACACAGAAGAAAAATGCTGTCTGTTCTGATTACAAAATTAGGACTTTACCGTCTCTGGGGCAGAAAAACACCATTCATGAACAATAATGTAGGGCAGTGGAGTGTATCTCAGTCAGTGTCCCCAATGTTTAATATGTGGGGAACTATAAACAGTACGATTCTTTAAACGATTCTTCGCGGCAGGGGATCGTATTCCAGGGACCATAGGATTAAGGACTTGCCCGAAACGCTACGCGTACTAGTGGCTGTACAAGAATGTAATAACTCTTGTATATATCTCAAAAAAAAAAAAAAAAAAAAAAAAGTAGTAGCTCACAAGTATCCACGTTTTCTGAGTAGTTTGGTTAGGTGAATGGCATGAGGTCATACATTTTAGCACCCCCTTATTTTGTATGTTGTGACAAATGTTGTGGCACCGGGGAGCTGGTGGCTGAGCGAACAGAACACTGGACGCGTGAACCTGTGGTCCCGGGTTCGATCCCAGGCGCCGCCGAGAAACAATGGGCAGTTTCTTTCACCCTGATGCCCCTATTACCTAGCAGTAAATAGGTATGTGGGAGTTAGTCAACTGTCACGGGCTGCTTCTTGGGGGGTGGAGAAGTGGTCGAGGACTGGACTGCGGGGTCACTAAGCCCCGAAATTATCTCAAGATAGGATATCTCGATAGAAATCAAGAGAATGGGCTGGTGTAACTCGATTGCTATTTTCAGACACTTTTCTTGCTGCTATATTCAATTATTTTTTGTGTAAGTAAACAACAAGTATGATGCATTAAGTGTTTAGAAGTGTAGTCCACATAGTCCCCATGGTGTAGTGGTAAGATGCTCACACCGGGCGTTTCACGAACGCTGTGGCCTGGGTTCGTATCCTGGCCGGGAAGGATTTACTGGGCATCAATCGTTAACTGTAGCCTCTGTTTACCTAACAGTAAAATGGTACCTGGTTGTTAAACGATTTGGCGGGTCATATTCCGGGGAATATTAGGATTGAGGACTTGCCCGAAACGCTGTGCGTGTACTCGCCTAGTTGTGCTTGCGGGGGTTGAGCTTTGGCTCTTTGGTCCCGTCAATCTACTGGTGTAGCTTCCACGTTATGCATGCTAGTGACTTTACAACCATGTAAGAACTCTTGTTAGAACCTCTGTAATTTCACAGGGTTTGGTGATGCTACCCAAAATCATGTGTGATGTACGTCAAGTGGAGTTCTGCAAGGCGCTCAGACTGACGTCATCCATCCTAGAACCTCTCTCCTTCACTGTGCCGAGAGTTAAGGTACGTTTTGACTGTGTATCTGGTGTTCTCTCTCCATCCATGCGGTAAGTCTTAATTACTCGAATTGCTCGGGTGCTCATCTAACATCTCAAATATTAGATAGCCATTTCAGTCCAGGCTTCTTCACTAGCGTGTAATTTATGGGTGTAATTTATGGGGTGTTTAACATCACAACACGAGCGGTTACCAATAATGGCAGTCAGATGCGATTGCCCAGTTCCTTACCAACTTTCAAGTTAATACAGTACAGAAGACATTTGAGTAGATGAAATTGGGATAATCAAGAGCAGCTTGTAAAGTCAACTTAATTTGCAGATTTGTTGTTTATATTATTATATTTTTTCATTTGGCTTTCAATTTGCACCCAGACGGAGTTGTTCCAGGACGACATCTTCCCCCCTACTTTCGTCAGTTGGGAACCAGTGATGACAGCGGCAGAGTGGTTGGGCAACACCAACCGCCCCCCACGCACCTTGTCCCTGCAGCCGACAGACATGCTCACCTGTACGTTACTATCTCATCATCGTTTGGCCCTTTGGGGTATTGCTACTTACCATAATGAATACATATAAAGGAACATTTGCAGTTTTTTCTCTAGGGACAATATGGGTGAGAGGGACATGTCTTGGGACAACATGGGGTGAAAGGGACATCTCTAGGGACAATATGGGTGAGAGGGATATCTCTAGGGACAACATGAGTGAGAGGGACATCTCTATGGACAACATGAGTGAGAGGGACATCTCTAGGGACAACATGAGTGAGAGGGACATCTCTAGGGACAACATGAGTGAGAGGGACATCTCTAGGGACAACATGGGGTGAGAGGGACATCTCTAGGGACAACATGGGTGAGAGGGACATCTCTAGGGACAACATGGGGTGAGAGGGACATCTCTAGGGACAACATGGGTGAGAGGGACATCTCTAGGGACAACATGGGTGACAGGAACATGTCCCTAGTTGTCGAGGGACAACTTCGTGCTTCATAAATGTGCATGAATGCACGTAAACTTGTAGATTGTTGGATACATTTGTATTGACTTGCACAAGCTTACAAAGAGTTTCATAAAGTTGTTGGGAATCATATAAACTTGTGCAGTCACATAATGTGTATGAAGTCACAGGATGTCATAGACAATTCCATATATTTTCAGGAATGACATACATGTTTAAACTCACTTGCAGTATCAGAAAGCCGCGAGCAGCAATCGCCCGTGTCACAGCCGAACAGCGGTGGACACATACGACACGAGACACCGCCGTTCCTCAAGGGCATGGTACCCAGCGAAGTTCGACAAACGCAGCACAAGGTTTGCTGCCGATCACTGACCTTTTTAATACTTCTTTGTATAGCTATTAGAATTTGAGTGTTAAGTTTGTTCTCCTAATATCTTCATTAATGCTTTTTTGTGCATACTGGAGGATTTGAGTTAATTTGGCAACATTTGAATTATAGTTCTGTACCTGATAACTATGGTCAGAACACGTCAGATAGGCAGGTCGTTTGTAGGTTATCATCATTTAAGCAGCTTGTAGTCGGAATGGTTTACTGAGGGTCACAGGTTTGTAAATGTAAATAGCGATGCTTTTGTTCCACTTAACACGTAGTAAGTGTAAGGTCACATTGTCTAGAGCAGAGGTTCCCAGCCTTCGCAACTTCAGGCCCATTCAAGTGCTTTTCAAGATGGCAAAAGCCTATTAAATAAGTGTCAAGGCGTCTACTGAGTTATTAGTAAACAAAGAAACCAGGTTTATATGGAGAGAAATAAGTAGGTTGTACCATAGTGGCCTTACAAGACTGTACTCTGCAAGACTGTACTCTGCAAGACTGTACTCTGCAAGACTGTACTCTGCAAGACTGTACTCTGCAAGACTGTACTCTGCAAGACTGTACTCTACAAGACTGTACTCTGCAAGACTGTGCTCTACAAGACTGTGCTCTACAAGACTGTACTCTACAAGACTGTACTCTACATGACTACTCTACAAGACTGTACTCTACAAGACTGTACTCTACATGACTACTCTACAAGACTGTACTCTACAAGACTGTACTCTGCAAGACTGTACTCTGCAAGACTGTACTCTGCAAGACTGTACTCTGCAAGACTGTACTCTGCAAGACTGTACTCTGCAAGACTGTACTCTGCAAGACTGTACTCTGCAAGACTGTACTCTGCAAGACTGTACTCTGCAAGACTGTACTCTGCAAGACTGTACTCTACAAGACTGTACTCTACATGACTACTCTACAAGACTGTACTCTACATGACTACTCTACAAGACTACTCTGCAAGACTACTCTGCAAGACTACTCTGCAAGACTACTCTACAAGACTACTCTACAAGACTACTCTACAAGACTACTCTACAAGACTACTCTACAAGACTACTCTACAAGACTACTCTGCAAGACTACTCTACAAGACTGTACTCTACAAGACTACTCTACAAGACTACTCTACAAGACTACTCTGCAAGACTACTCTACAAGACTACTCTACAAGACTACTCTACAAGACTACTCTACAAGACTACTCTACAAGACTACTCTACAAGACTACTCTACAAGACTGTACTCTACAAGACTGTACTCTACAAGACTGTACTCTACAAGACTGTACTCTACAAGACTGTACTCTACAAGACTGTACTCTACAAGACTGTACTCTACAAGACTGTACTCTACAAGACTGTACTCTACAAGACTGTACTCTACAAGACTGTACTCTACAAGACTACTCTACAAGACTACTCTACAAGACTACTCTACAAGACTACTCTACAAGACTACTCTACAAGACTACTCTACAAGACTGTACTCTACAAGACTGTACTCTACAAGACTGTACTCTACAAGACTGTACTCTGCAAGACTGTACTCTACAAGACTGTACTCTACAAGACTACTCTACAAGACTACTCTACAAGATTGTACTCTACAAGACTACTCTACAAGACTACTCTACAAGATTGTACTCTACAAGACTACTCTACAAGACTAAAAGTGGCCAAAATCTATACTTCCTCAATGCATTGTGCCGTGTACTGTATGAGAGACAATCAGTAAGAGCCTTGAGGGGGATTCGAACCTGCTCACTTGGTACTCTCAAGCTATTAGGCAAGACATATACATGTCTTGCCTTAATAGCCAGCACCACACCACTTGGCCTAGTATGCAAGGTCTGATTTGCCTAACAGGCCAAATGATTTTTGTCATTTTTCAAATATTTCTTTCCAGATGGCATTTGTTTTTTCTAACAATAAAATTCTATTCTATTACATTAGGAACATGAATTACTGACTTAGTTATGTTAGGTTACGTTAGGATAGGATAGGTTACGTTAGATTAGGATAGAATAGGTTACCACAGATTAGGATAGGTTACGTTACGTTAGGTTTGATCCAATTTCTGTTGGTTTTGAATCAAAATATAACAAAAATTAAATCATATGTAATGAAAAGATTTGATCATTCCATAAAAAAACAAAAACATTTCTTATGAAAAGTTACTATTTGTAAATTGTGACGTGTCGGGAAATATGATGAGCAACACACACATCAGAGGATGGAGAAGCGTTGATGTGATAATGGTCTGTCCTGGACTATTAGCACGTTGTGTCACATGACGTGATAATGGTCTGTCCAGGACTATTAGCACGTTGTGTCACATGACGTGATAATGGTCTGTCCTGGACTATTAGCACGTTGTGTCACATGACGTGATAATGGTCTGTCCTGGACTATTAGTACGTTGTGTCACGTGACGTGATAATGGTCTGTCCTGGACTATTAGCACGTTGTGTCACGTGACGTGATAATGGTCTGTCCTGGACTATTAGTACGTTGTGTCACGTGACGTGATAATGGTCTGTCCTGGACTATTAGTACGTTGTGTCACATGACATGATAATGGTCTGTCCAGGACTATTAGCACGTTGTGTCACATGACGTGATAATGGTCTGTCCTGGACTATTAGCATGTTGTGTCACATGACGTGATAATGGTCTGTCCTGGACTATTAGCACGTTGTGTCACATGACGTGATAATGGTCTGTCCTGGACTATTAGCACTTTTTGTCACGTGACGTGACACGTGTGTGTGTGTGTGTGTGTGTATATATATATATATGTCGTACCTAGTAGCCAGAACACACTTCTCAGCCTACTATGCAAGGCCCGATTTGCCTAATAAGCCAAGTTTTCATGAAATAATTTTTTTCGACTACCTAACCTACCTAACCTAACCTAACCTAACCTAACCTAACCTAACATTTTCGGCTACCTAACCGAACCTAACCTATAGAGATAGGTTAGGTTAGGTTAGGTAGGGTTGGTTAGGTTCGGTCATATATCTACGTTAATTTTAATTCCAATAACAAAAAATTGACCTCATACATAATGAAATGGGTAGCTTTATCATTTCATAAGAAAAAAATTATAGAGAATATATTAATTCAGGAAAACTTGGCTTATTAGGCAAATCGGGCCTTGCATAGTAGGCTCAGAAGTGTGTTCTGGCTACTAGGTACGACATATATATATATATATATATATATATATATATATATATATATATATATATATATATATATATATATATATATATATATACAAAAATAAATAATATACACACACCCAGAGTACTGTATATAGATACAGTATAGATATAGATACTTGATATAGAAGAGGCTGGGAACACCTGAGCTAGAGGACACACTAATACTCTCAACCTTCATCTTCCTTCATGCAAATTTGTTGTTACTATTTCACTCTCGCATACATTTCAGAGTGTGTGTGTGTGTATGTATGTATGTATGTATATATATATATATATATATATATATATATATATATATATATATATATATATATATATATATATATATATATATATATATATATATATATATATATATATATATATATATATAATAATTGGAGTTAAAATTAACGTAGATATATGACCGAACCTAACCAACCCTACCTAACCTAACCTAACCTATATTATAGGTAAGGTTAGGTTAGGTAGCCAAAAAAAGCTAGGTTAGGTTAGGTTATATATATATGTATATATGAGCCTACAGTAAGTGTTGTCATTGTTGCACATTTAACTTGTTTAACTTGTTGTAAATTAAGACATGTTGTCATTTAGAGGAGTTAGTTTACTGCATCTGGCACTAGACTTGGATGGATGTTCACTATAGCTTACAATGTTGGTACCCAAGCGGAGAGACGCACACGCATGATGCTCATCACTTTAGCTCTGCCTTGATGTTATGCTCGTGTTTGAGGTGTCATTCACTCTCTCTCCTCCTCCCTTGGATTCTTCACTTGACCTTTCACTGACTCCCAGTTCAGTGTTACATTTCCCTTTGGTATCGGTGATCAGTTTAGAAGCAACGCCACCGGAAAAACCTTCATTACTCTCCGATATACAGTACCATGTTCTGTAATGGACAGTATTTTTGCATTGTGTAAAAAAAAAATCGGGAACAGTAGTCGTGGATGATTATGTAGACTACGTGTGCCAATAACCTTGTTGTTACGATGCCAAATTCAGTTATTTTTTGACCAGTCAATCAGACTGTTTTACTTTGAGAAATGCTTTAGGAATGTCATTCGTAATAAAAGCTTTCAGTTGATGGGTGCATCTTTGAGCACTGCTGATATTACCTCCTGCCCCTGACTGGTACTACCAATAGTACACTGACGGCAGTTGTTGGCCTTCATCCATGAGTTGTGTGCTATGGCTCGACTACATGTAAAGCAGCCATTGGCATCGTTATCCACATGTCTCTCTCCATGTAACCAGTTGTGTGTTGCGTGAGTAAGCTCGCCCTCAGCCACTAGAAGATGGTGGTACAACTACTTCTCTGTCTTGTACTTGGTAGGAATATTTCTAGTCCAGTTACTAGTAAGAGTTGGAACACATACTTTGTAAGTGTTCTATCACCTTACAGTTCTTTTACATTTTCTTTTGAAAGTCGGTTGATTTTTTTTATTTTTGTGGCATATTTTAATATGTAATGTACTGTGTGTAGCTCATGTATAGGAAATACACTTAGCTTTAAATTTGCAAACAATCTTCTGTGTTATATGTTTGTACTGTGGACCATTCACAATTACTTTAATCACTTATATATTTTGCTTTGAGTTTCTTATTAAAAGTTTTTATTGCTACATTTTATCTTGGGATTGAATTCACAGCTGATGAGAGTTGTAGTGTTCTCGGCATATTTTCTTCATCATTGTAACTTATCATCGCCACTATCATCACCCAGCTTTTTCCTCAAGTCTCATGGTGTGTTGATTCATGCTTTTCACTATTATAATATTATGTACTCAATTTACTTTATTGGAGAGTGTTTTGCATGCATTGCAATAATCATCTAATGCAGCTCTTAGGTCCAAAGGTAATTGGGTTGTGTAGTTAATTTTCTTTTAGTAATAACAAGAGACTAAATGTATAACAAGTCACTTGACACAGAGAGTTCTAGTGTTGGTCTCGAGTCAACCTGCAAACTTAACTGTCCTATTTTCAGTGTATTCCTGTTAAACATAATTTGGCTATGCACCATGCTATCTTGTATGATGTTGCCTGAAACGCTATGCGTGCTAGTGGCTGTACAAGAATGTAGGAACTTTTGTATATATAAATAAATAAAATAAATGTTGAGAACCTCTCTGCAAGCCGCAGGTAATGGCTTAAAGACAAGTCCTCGGCAGCGAGTTTGCATTTTGTCTGAAGTCAGCCCCAGAACTTTGGTAACATTGCCAATATAATCCTTACAACACCAGACTTGAGTGATTGCTGGTGTAGCTGGTGCTCAAGTTTGGCTGCCACTTGGACCTAGATTGGTCACACGTGGACCTAGTTCGGTTGCCACTTGGACTTAGTTCAGTTGCCACTTGGACCTAGTTTGGCCGCCACTTGGACCTAGATTGGTTGCCGCTGGGATCTAGGTTGGTCACACTTGGACCTAGTTCGGTCGCCACTTGGACCTAGTTCAGTCGCCACTTGGACCTAGTTCAGTCGCCACTTGGACCTAGTTCAGTTGCCACTTGGACCTAGTTCAGTTGCCACTTGGACCTAGTTCAGTCGCCACTTGGACCTAGTTCAGTCGCCACTTGGACCTAGTTCAGTCGCCACTTGGACCTAGTTCAGTCGCCACTTGGACCTAGTTCAGTCGCCACTTGGACCTAGTTCAGTCGCCACTTGGACCTAGTTCAGTCGCCACTTGGACCTAGTTTAGTCGCCATTTGGACCTAAAAGACTGGCTCATGCATGTATCCCTCTCCCAGCTTGTTATATTTCCACAGAATCTTAATGTCCCCGAGGAAGTCCTGGAGACTCAGAGCCGGGTACGTCTGCCAAGTTTGTTCGGAGGCTGTTTTATTTTTCATTTCTTGAAGCCCCAGTGGCTTCCCAAAGCTATTTTGCCGAGATTGCTCCATGCTAATGGGTCACGTCGGTTTGGAAGCCCTGTTTGGTCAACCAGGGATTGGATCCAGAACCAGGGACCAGATTCATGAAGCAGTTACACAAGTACTTATGAACCTGTATATCTTTCCTCAATCTTTGACGGTTTTGGTTACATTTATTAAACACTTTACAAGCATGAAAACGTCCCAATCAACTGTTGTTATTGTTATAAACAGCCTCCTGGTGCTTAGTAGCTCATTAACTGTTTAATAGGTGTAAGCAAAGCTGCCAAAGATTAAGAAAAGATGTACAGGTTGTAAGTGTTTGTATAACGCTTCATGAATCTGGCTCCAGGTTCATAACTACTTCGTGACTCTGGCCCCAGGTTCATAAGTGCTTGCATAACTGCTTCGTGAATCTGGCCCCAGGTTCGTAAGTGCTTGCATAACTGCTTCGTGAATCTGGCTCCAGGTTCATAAGTGCTTGCATAATTGCTTCGTGAATCTGGCCCCAGGTTCGTAAGTGCTTGCATAACTGCTTCGTGAATCTGGCCCCTGGTCTTTCTCACAGAGGCGGAGGGAGCGAGTTAACCTCCCCGCCGGAAAAGCATTCAGAAGGTCAGTGAAGCTTTACAGACAACAGGAGGGTTCTTAGAAAACAAAGCCTCGAAACAATCAAACAAATCCACAAACAATTCACGCTGAGCAAGAAATTCACTCAAAGTAGCTCAAAACTAGTTTGAGTGACCAGCTATTAATGCAAGTGCTGCCCTTGCATTAACAGTTGGGCTATTCCAGGATCTTTGACTCCTGTGCTTGGGTTCTTGGCTGGAGACATTCGTTTGGTTGTGCTGAGGTACACTGGGGTTATCTTGCTTATTTATACACAATTCACAGTCTCCGTGGTGTAGTGGTAAGACACTCGCCAGGCGTTCCGCGAGCGCTTTGTCATGGGTTCGTATCCTGGCCGGGGAGGATTTACTGGGCGCAAATCCTTAACTGTAGCCTCTGTTTAACTCAACAGTAAAATGTGTACTTGGTTGTAACAACGATTCTTCGCGACGGTGATTGTATTCCAGGGACCTGCCCGAAACGCTACTCGTACTAGTGGCTGTACAAGAATGTAACAACTCTTGTATATATCTCAAAAATACTCCACAGTCAACATTCATAACCTGGTTGTTTTGGTAGCATTTAGTGACTGTTCTTCCAGCATGTGGCCCTGGTGCCTGGGGGGGGGTTTCTTCTTTCCTAGCTACCTTGCTACCTTCAGGCCCTAGTAATCCCCTTGTGGGGGTTCTCCGGCATGGTCCGTTGAGCCCATGCAGGCTTGAAAGCTGTTGAACATCTATGCTACCTGACGATGATCATTATTTCTGCCTCTTGCTATGTTTCCTGCATGATTGGCGAGACCTGTGAGCCTGGGTCCTGTAATTACCTAAGTGTAATTACCTAAGTGTAGTTACAGGATGAGAGCTACGCTCGTGGTGTCCCGTCTTCCCAGCACTCTTTGTCATATAACGCTTTGAAACTACTGACGGTCTTGGCCTCCACCACCTTCTCACTTAACTTGTTCCAACCGTCTACCACTCTATTTGCGAAGGTGAATTTTCTTATATTTCTTCGGCATCTGTGTTTAGCTAGTTTAAATCTATGACCTCTTGTTCTTGAAATTCCAGGTCTCAGGAAGTCTTCCCTGTCGATTTTATCAATTCCTGTAACTATTTTGTATGTAGTGATCATATCACCTCTTTTTCTTCTGTCTTCTAGTTTTGGCATATTTAATGCTTCTAACCTCTCCTCGTAGCTCTTGCCCTTCAGTTCTGGGAGCCACTTAGTAGCATGTCTTTGCACCTTTTCCAGTTTGTTGATGTGCTTCTTAAGATATGGGCACCACACAACAGCTGCATATTCTAGCTTTGGCCTAACAAAAGTCATGAACAATTTCTTTAGTATATCGCCATCCATGTATTTAAATGCAATTCTGAAGTTAGAAAGCATAGCATAGGCTCCTTGCACAATATTCTTTATGTGGTCCTCAGGTGATAGTTTTCTATCTAGAACCACTCCTAGATCTCTTTCTTTATCAGAATTCTTTAAAGATTTCTCACATAATATATAGGTTGTGTGGGGTCTATGTTCTCCTATTCCACATTCCATAACATGACATTTATTAACATTAAATTCCATTTGCCAAGTGGTGCTCCATATACTTATTTTGTCCAGGTCTTCTTGAAGGGCATGACAGTCATCTAAATTTCTTATCCTTCCTATTATCTTAGCATCATCAGCAAACATGTTCATATAATTCTGTATACCAACTGGTAGATCATTTATGTACACAATAAACATCACTGGTGCAAGAACTGAACCCTGTGGTACTCCACTTGTGACATTTCTCCATTCTGATACATTGCCTCTGATTACTGCCCTCATTTTTCTATCAGTCAGAAAATTTTTCATCCATGATAGAAGCTTACCTGTCACCCCTCCAATATTTCCAGTTTCCAGAACAACCTCTTATGTGGAACTCTGTCGAAAGCCTTTTTTAGGTCCAGATAGATGCAGTCAACCCAACCATCTCTTTCCTGTAAGATCTCTGTGGCTCGATCATAGAAACTGAGTAAATTCGATACACAGGATCTTCCAGATCGAAAACCATACTGTCTGTCTGATATTATATCATTTCTCTCTAGGTGTTCTACCCATTTAGTTTTGATTAGTTTTTCCAATACTTTCACTATTACACTTGTCAATGATACAGGTCTATAATTGAGGGGGTCTTCCCTGCTGCCACTTTTGTAGATTGGAACTATGTTAGCCTGTTTCCACCCGTCTGCTACGATTCCTGTACACAGGGATGCCTGAAAGATCAGGTGAAGTGGAATGCTGAGCTCAGATGCACATTCTCTCAGAACCCATGGTGAAACGCCATCTGGGCCAGCTGCTTTGTTCTTACCGAGCTCCTTGAGCATTTTTTCCACTTCGTCTCTAGACACCTCTATGTGTTCTATGTTGTTCTCTGGAATTCTTATTGTATCTGGTTCCCTAAAGATTTCATTTTGTACAAACACACTTTGGAACTTTTCGTTTAGTGTTTCACACATTTCCTTTTCATCTTCCGTGAATCTATTTCCCATTTTCAACCTCTGTGAGGGTCTCGCTGGGTTTCTGCCTGCACTGATTTGGTTCCAGGCTAAACAGCTTTTCAGGCAGCTGCCACATTGCGAGCTAAGTTTTCTGAAGTTAGACATTCACAGCTTATCGATCATCTGGATGCCCTGGAGGAAGCATTGACCCCCTTGGGTGTTTAGGGCCACAGAATTGGAGGCATTGGTGACCACCACCTTCTGCACCTTCTGTTCCTTTCCCTGTAGGTGTGGTTTACCCTGTTTCTGGTCCCCCCCCCCCCCCATCCCTCCTCCCCTGGTTCTGGCTCCAAAGTATCTGAGGGTTTGGGGAGTCAGAGCAAGATTTAGTTCGGGTTGTAGATCCTTGGTGTTGCCATCCAGCGTCAGGGCTGAGGGGAACCCAAGGAGTGCCCATGGGTGCCCTTCAATCCTCCTTGGACCATGATTTCCTCACAGAGGGTCTTTTGCTTCAAGGAAAGAAGTTTTTGTGTTTTCTTATCCCTCCTCTATGAGAGTATGATCGCTCGGCTGCTCCCCCCATTGGCAGCTCTTCTCAGCTACCTGGAAGAGGGGAGAGGGGCACCAGTTCTGTCTTGGTGGATGCTTTGTTGGTTGACCCTGTTCCAAGGCTTGCTTTTCTCAGGTCGTCCCTATTATCTCAAAGTTTAGCCAGCCTGTGGTCTACCTACAGGCCTATGATGTCTGCACATACATGGCATTGGTCATGGTCTCGGAACAATTTGCACAGTCTGATCCATAACGGACTATGCCAGATACTCCATTGTCCTGGGCTGATATTCGGGCTCGGGGGCTTTGGCATTCTAACAGGGCTCAGGCACCCCAGTATTAATGTTCCCAATCAGATTTATGTGGCTTTAGACAATGTCTCCTGGTTTGGGTTCTTTGTCCTAGTGCCTGCCACCTCTCCTCTCGGGTAAGACCTGTTGACGTTCTTTGTGATTAAATGCAGGAAGCCATCAGCATTTATTGTAATGAAATTCCTCTTTCTACTAGAGCTCTGATAGCTTCCTAATTTGCCCTCCCTCCTTTCCAGGTTCATCAGTAGGCTGTTTACCAAAGTCAGAACTGAGATAGGGAGTGGCTGAGGGCAAATTAACAAGTTTTGAGCTCATTTGAGTGAATCCCTTGTTCTGTGCAAAATCATTTATGGAGTTGTTTGGTCGTTTCAAGGCTTCGTTTTCTGTGAACTCTCCAATTGTCTGTTAAGCTTCACTGACTTTCTGGAGGGTTTTCCCACTGGGTTGGTGAATCGTCACTCACTCCCTGCCCCTGTGGGGCAAGGGCCAGATTCTAGCGGTGGTCCCCGACAGTCCAAACAGAACTTCCCGACTGATGTGGCCTTTTAGTATGAAGACACAGGGAGCTGCCGGGGCTCGACCAGAATGAGGCGTTTCATTACATTCAATGCTTTTTTTTTATTGGTGCAGTTTTAATGCTTTGTTAATTCTGACCATTCAATAAGTAATTTTCCATATTTACTAGTGTGTGGTGTGTGCTGCAGACATTTGGTAGAGTTGTCTGAGGTATCTGTTGGTGTGTGAATGTTGGCAATGGTTGTGAACTGTTGTGTCATTGACCAGTTGTGGTGTCATTGACCAGCTGTGGTGTCATTGACCAGCTGTTGTGTCATTGACCAGCTGTTGTGACAATGGTTGTGAACTGTTGTGTCATTGACCACTGTGGTGTCATTGACCAGTTGTTGTGACAATGGTTGTCAGCTGTGGTGTCATTGACCAGCTGTGGTGTCATTGACCAGCTGTGGTGTCATTGACCAGTTGTTGTGACAAT